TTATTTACAAAAATAATTTTATATTTAAAACGTTCTTCAAATTCGAACCAACTAATAAAATATTGGTCAATATATAAAGAAATAAATATGAAAATGATTTTTTTAAAAATTTGAAATAAAATGAATTTTCACATTTATTTCGTTATAAAATGGCAAATAATAAGTCTTTATGAAAAGTACATATTTTTTTCATAATTTTGTAAACAGACATTGCCCAGGGAGCGATGGTAGTTAAAACAATAGCGGAGTCAATGGAAAAACCGTCCTTTTGAAACACGATTTTTTGCGGGCAGTAAGGTCCATGTTTGTCTTTTTTTTCTTTCTCTTCCCTTTTTATTTAACAGATTTCGAAAACTGGTTGTTAATTTGCTTCTATGTTGCCAAGAAAGTGCGGCCGAAAGGCTTTAGCCTACTTTGGTCGAAAAATGGAAAGACGTAGGCGGATGGAGAAGAAACTGGAACATGTTCCGTGGATGTAGAAGTCCGACTGGGGGTGTGGAACGATGCAGGTAATTATTTCTCTTCAATGGCATATATAAAGTTACTCAGATGCGATCGTAACTTCTGGCGAGCTATCAGACCGTGAAACATAACATGGATCTTATCCAAAGACGTTCCATGGGCTTGAAGAAATGCCTGCAGATGGATCAAATTTGGGTGAGTGTGGGGTAGGAAGAAGTGAAATTCCTTTGTGCAAGAATTGCTAGTCTTTGTTTGTGCCAAAGAACCGTCCAAGACAGTATGGCGTCTAAGACGCCGCCAAAGAAACCCACGAAACAGTATCAGTCATCGTTGTATCGTTAAGGAATCTTCGAATAGATACTTACTAAAATGTCATAGACTGTTACATTTTCTGTCTTCTTCCTGTAAGTACCTTGTCCCTTCAAGACGTGGACGTTCATGACTCTCCTTTTTAGGCCTTAATAAAGTTTGTCTTTTCATGCCGTAGTATTAGTGTGCTTTTATATTCCATTTTCTTTAAAACTTCGCCGTTGTTCCCATGCTCAGTATATGGCATTCTCAGCATCCTTCTGTAGGATCATGTTTGTTGCCACATGTCTCTCGTCTTTCTATGGAAAGATTTTCTGGCCTTCATTGTCTAATAGAAGGACCGATATTACATAACAGTTCAGCACTCTTCTTTGTTTCAGATGAGTTTTTTCTGTTTCTTAATACTTGCCTTTGCTTTTGGAAGGCATCTTTCATTATCTTTATATACCTTCAAATTTTGCTCTGGCATTTTTAGTCCTCTCTTAAAATATTTCTTAGATATTTAAATTTTTATTTAATTTTAGTATAATTTGTAATTTACACTTTGCAATTGGTATTTAGTTCTTTCTTTTCTCTTTCTTTTACGAGCTTCTTTAGGGGTTCCAGTAATTTTCTTTCTGCCTCCTATCACCACAGTGACATCTGCATTTCTAATATTGTTAAGATTATGACTGCGGATAATGAATTCTGTTAGGCCTTCTAATTCTCTGAGAATTGCTTCACAGTAAAGGTTGAATAAGTCGTCTCTTTCTATTTTTGTGTATAACGTTTCCTGTACTTAAATCTTTAAGTTTTTATCTTGAAGAATTTTTGGCTACATCTCGTCACAGCCGCGCACCAAACGTTAAGTAGTTTCTTTGTATGTTTCCTTTGTTTAGCTTCAGTTCCATATCTATGCTGAGTGAATCTATGTACGGAAGTCCTATAAACTATGTGTAGTAATGGACACTTGCCGTACCATATTAGGCGTTGCAAATATGGTTACCGTCGCAAGTACGCTGTCTTTTTCAGTGACAGGTTGCCATTTAAGCCGAGAGAATTCAGTCTGTTCAACTATGAGTCCCTGGCTGAACCAAGAAGGATGGCGTTAAACCTTCTCATGTGCATTTGTACGAAATCGAACGCAGTTGCATTGGATAGAATTTGAATTCAATACTCCGGTCCGATTTGGCACCGCAGTGACCATTAAATGGTGCATATATTCACCTCGAATAAATAGAGTGAAATTCTTAAACTAATAAACTTTGTTAAGGTATGTGTAAAGTGCGTATCTGCAACCAGGATGATGACATTAACTGGAGCGACCATTATCTATAAGGTTTCTGATACAAAGTAATACGTTCCTTTGGTATGGGCTTACGGCCATATCACGTTGAAATACCGGTTCCCGTACGATTCCGATAGTGATCATCTAGATGGGTGACCGCTTGAGACTACCAGGTGCTGTAAGTTTTTATGTGTAGTTGGTGTAATAGATAGTGGCTGGGAATTTTTTATTCAGAGAGCCGAGTTCCAATTCCACTTGGTCTCATTATATTCACTTACCCGCAAATACTCTTGGCAAAGGCCTGAATCCATCTCTTCTTTTCCAACTGTGTGTTAACTACGAAGACTCAGATCACTAAATCATTATTATGTAAAAGAAAAAAAATCTTATAATCTAAAAATATGTTTCTGTCGTTAAATAACCTTGAAAACGAAGCAATCCATTTTCTTTCATTTAAGAGGTGTGAGTGTAACAACATTTACCAGTATGAAGAATGGAATCAATAAGAAGACAAATGCATGGTTTTTAGCAAAAGAGCTATACCAATTTATAAACTGTATATAGGAGATGTCAACATAAAGTCGTCCTGGTATGATGATAAACTACATCCGGCAGCAAGGCCTCTGATCGGGAAGTTTTGAGGAGAGTGGAACCACGTCTTAATTCGTATTGTTCCCAGGTCCAACTTGACCTGGAGTGGTAGTACCTGTTAGGGTTCTGGCTATGGGCAAATAGTTAATCCCAAGACTGGAGTCAAAGCAAATGTAAGTATAAAAATCGGTTTTTATAGTAAAAATACCAGTAATACATTTTTGAAATTAAATTGCCAGCAATACTTCTTGAAAATAAAAAGAAAATACCAGCAATACATTTGACTCACGGCCCTCTTTGCATAAAATCAAGTTCTCTACAAAATGTAGATCTGAAATGAATACATCAATGAAACTAGATTTTCCACAAATATCCTCCTTACAAAAATATGTGATAACAGATAAAGAAAATGCCTTTCAGAAATTAAGCAGAGTATTTAGATATTAGCTAATATCCTTATAAAGAAAGAAAACAAAGCTGAACTATGCGGTCATTAATATGACAGTGAATTATCGATAATTTCTTCACATATAAAGAGATTTGAAGCAATAGAAATATGATTCTATCATCGACTGCTAGAGATAGTCTGGACAGAAATTGTAAGTCAGGACGAAGTCATAAGGAAACTTATACTTACAATCAGAAAGAGTTGAAATTTTTAGGACAATTTATGAAGCAAGCGAAAACAGTGCGTGACCTAATTAAAGAGTTTGTGCAAATGAATTGCCGAAAAACGAACAAAAGGAGTAGTTAATGGTTAAAAAAGAGTATTTAGAACAATAAAAGACATGAAGATGTGAGGATCCATGATCACCAACATCCTGAAAGTATACGGTAGATAAAAGAAGAAAGAAGTGGATCTGACTTTCAACATCTGGAGAAGGAAACAAACAAACAAAAAATGTCTATTATATTTTCACGGAAGATTCACGGAAATCAGTTGAAAGAAATGAATGCCGTTTTCTCCCTGACAGAACGAAAGTGTGGAACAGAGAGAGAGAGAGAAAAAAAGGAGAAAGAGTGAGAGATAAAGAGAGAGAGAGAGAGAGAGAGAGAGAGGGAGAGAGAGGGAGAGAGATAAAAAAGAAAGAAAGAGAGGGAGGGATAGAGAGATACAGAGAAAGTAGAGATACAGATAATACAGAGAAGATTAGAATGGGGGGGTGCCTCCATGAATCTCAAGGGCCTCGGAGACATGAGCATTAACAACTACCGCCATGGATCTCCCTGTCAGGAAGGACTTGACAATTGAACAGACTTTTCTAGTGGACCCATAGCTCCAGAGCTTATGTTGCAAACCCTATGCCACACCTTGTCAAAAAGCCGTCGATATATCTAATGCAATCGTCATCGTAATGTATTTATTGTCTAAAGCCTCACTGATTCTGTGAGTAATGACAGAATATCAGCAGTGGACCGAACGGATCGAAATACCTATTGTTTGTCGCTCAAGAGTTTGTCCCTGTTGAGGAGATCAACAACCTTTTTGATTATAGCGTCAAAGCGATTCGTGATGACATTGATGAGGCTGATGGGCCGATATTGAGACATGAATAAGCGCTCACCGACATTCTTGAAAACAAAGCACCTTCCACAGACTTAGTAAGGGATTCTCCTTCAGGCAACATTTAAACAATTTTGCTAACATCGGTGATAAGTCAGTGCCGATATTCTTAAGGACATTATTAGAATTTTATATAAACCGATAGCTTTCTTAGGATCAAGACTTTTGATAAGTCTTGAGACATCCCTGGCTGTGATAGAAATGTTACTTAGTTTGTGCTTTGGGATGGATGTAGGCAGGATTGGGGGAAGGCCCTTGTTTTGAAAGAAAGAAAAGATCTGATGAAATAAATGGAAAAAAAGAAAGGAAAGTGGGAGGAAACTACCAGAAAGAAATCATACAACCTTAAGAAAAAAAAAGAAAAAGAGTAAAAATGAATGAATAATGAAAGAAAAAAGAGTAAATGCAGAAGAATGCAAAAGAGATTTTGGAGAATGAGTCGGAGATAAAAAAAAAATGAAGATTGCTTTAAGGAGGTAATTTTAAGAAAGAAAAGGAAACATGAAAAATAAGAAAGGAAGGGAAGGACGGAAGGAAGGAAGAAAAAAGAAAGAAGAAGGGATTAAAAAAAGAAAGAATAAAGATATTAATCATTCAAGAAAAGAGAAAAACATATTGATCAATGGAAAAAAGAAAAACGAAATAATATTCAAGAAAATAAAGAAAGAATTACAGAAAGAAAAGTTGATTCAATGAAAACAAAGAATGGGTCAGAAAAAGCCATAAAAAAATAAGGAATCAGTCAATCAAAAAACGTCGACTTAATTCCGATAAAAATGATAAAATGGACCAAGAAAAGAAAGAAGGTTAATGAGAAATGAATGAGCAAAAGAAATATGGAAAGAAGAATATGCAAGAAATGTTAAGAAAAAGAGGAATGAATGAAAGGAAAGAAGACTGAAGAAAGAGTGGATCAAAGAAGAAGAGAAAAAGAAAATCAAGCAACAAAATGAAGGGAAAATGAACGAAAGAAAGAAAAAGGAGAACGAATTGAGGGAAAGAAGAAAAAATGATGAATGAATTAATAGTAGTAAAAAAAAAGAACGAAGAATTGACCAGAGAAAGAAATTTCAAAAGAGAAAATATATATAAAAAAAAAGAGAGAATGGATGACTGCGAAGAAGTTTGAATAAAGAGTAGATCAAATAAAAAAAAAGGAGAAACTAAATAAAATTGAAGAAAAAGAGGAATTTTTTAAAAAAAAGAAATCAACCTGAATGAAAGAAAAAATGAAACGCGAAGACATCGTTTTCAGCGAAGAATAACAAGCGAAGCGGTTTTTGCCAATGACATTTAACAAGATCAAGAGGTGAAAAAAGTCCTATTGAGGGCAAGAGAAAAGGACAAAAGAATGTAAGAGGGTGGCGAAATAAAGGAGACTCATATAGCTTCGAAAACCTCAGAGACCTTCAAGGCTTATAAAAAGGTCAATTAGTCAAGTAAAGCTCATCTCCAAGGAAGTGTACTCGCGAACGCGTGGTTCAGAGGCTGAGGACGAATTTTTCGCGATTTATTTAAGGAGTAGAGGGTTTCACAGATGGACACTGGAGAAAAGGTCACTTAAGAAAGAAACAAACGAGGCAAATTTACATCATATACTATGTTTAGAAAGGAGGGGGTCATGAAATAATGTTGCGCCTATATTCCAAGTAGAAAATGAATGTCAGCCTAAAAAATCAGCATTAAAATCTTGGATTTTACATAGGTTAGAAAAACAAACATATACTTTTATATTGTGCATTAAGGAAGTCATCTCCTTTGGAAGCGTTAAAAGAAGAAAAAATGAAACTATTTTTATCGGTATTTGGTAACTTTAGACTAAATATAGCTTAAAGAACAGATAGTTATCGAATATAAGGAACGCTTATAAAATGAAAAACTGACGTGGGTTGGAAATACACAACTTTCTTAACAAACAAAGTAAATTAAACTTCAATTATTTTCTCTTGTGCCTCTACTTATTCTTTCTTCTTTCTCTGAATTAATTATTTTTCCCTTTTCTTCAAATTTATTTTTCTAATGGTGGTATATCCTAAGATGTTTCACATCAAAATGGAAATACTAGTAAATAAAATATGGCATTTTGGATTCTTGTCTCATATTCAGCTTTTGATCTGTGAACACCAAAAACAAAGGAATTGGCCTTGCCGTTCGAATACCTTTAGAGATGACTGCATATATGCACACACACGCGCACACGCGCACACACACACAGACACAGACACACACACACACACACACACACATATATATATATATATATATATATATATTAAAACGACTGAGTAGGTACTGTGGTTAATTTTTCTTATGATCGTTTATTTTTTTTCTTTTCTGGACATTAATTTTGTAGAAATTGTTTGAATATTCTGTATACCCGAGCACTTTCGGCTATTTTTTTAGCCATTTTCAAGGATGATTTAATTTTTACTTTTAACTGAATATATGCATTGTGATAGGAATGTTTTATTTTCCAAGCACAGTCAACACATTGTAGCCGTATTCATTCATAGTTGATATTATTGAGTATTGGATTTTTTTTATTAATAATACTTACATTATTTTTAGCTTTTTTTTTTTTTTTTTACATGTATATGAGTCTATTATATTATATTCCCATGTAAAAAACATGTCTAAAAATAATGGAAGCATTATTCTCGGAATTACTCTTCTTGTTTATTTTGTAGAGAGCAACATTTACTTGAATTTTTCGATGCGTACGGAAATTCGCGCCAGACTACGAAGTGGAGATGCGTGCATGAACATTCATTGCAGGTTTCTATCGTGGCCCCGACCTCACCGAAACCGATACGTCAGCGTTTGGGTCAGAAGTCAAAGCGGAATTGAGCCACGGACAAGTTCACCAGATGGCGGAAATCATGAGGTGAGGATTAAGTCGACACGTGGTAAAGAGATGAGTGTCAGAAGGAAGACAGGTGGCGGGGTTGAGTAAGAACATGACAACAAATAATACGTTACCTACCTATAATCAATATAACATAAACTTATATAAAGAAAGGTCAATATATATATATATATATATATATATATATATAAAGAGAGAGAAAGAGAGAGTAAGAGAGAGAGGTTCTATATAATACGGCTATGAATTTTAAATCGTTATATACATTTTCATTAAATCAGATTTAAAGTTGATAAAATTTATCTAGAAATTGCAATTTGAAATATGATTTATTAATTAGTACTTATTAGTAATTGTTAGTACTTTTAGTACTTGGCTTACGGCCATTTCTCGTCGAAACACCGGTTCTCGTACGATCACTTATGATAAGTAACATAGAGCCTGGTCTGTACCTAGATGGGTAACTGTTTGGGAATATCAGGTGCTGTAAGCATGGATGTGCGGGTGGTGTAATAGGTAGTGGCTCGGAAATGTTAATCAGAGAGCGGAGTTCTCTTCAGTTGTCTCCGTTATATTCACTTACGTACAAATACACTTGGGAAAGGTTTGAATTCACGTCTTCTCCCCCAGCTATGGGTTAATGAGTAAGACTTGTATTACTAAACCATTATCTCAAAAAAAATTCTTACAATCTAAATATAATTTCTGGCTTTAAATAACGTGCAAATGGTTGATGTCGTAGAAAACGAATCAATCAAAACCATGATCATTTCCCAAGTTGTATATTATAAGTTTTGCATACATACATATATAGATACGGTTTTGATAAGTTTTTGAGTTTTCCTTCTTCTAGACAGGTTGCAAAACAAGATTAAGGAGTTCAGTCTGTCCTTAGAAGTTTTCTTTTTCGAATAGTGAGAATGTTGAGAAATTGTCCATAATTTTGATTTTCTGACTGCAAATAATATAGTCATTATCAAGAGGCGGGTGTACTTTTCCATGGTAACGAGGATAAATATATTTGTTTTTTTTTGCTAGTGTGTGGTATGATAAGTAGTTTTATAGCATTAATTTTCTTTGTAGTGGAATTTTTTAGTTTCCGAACACGGTCAAAAGATGCTGGCCATGTTCGGACGCAGTGTTGTTATGTTATGATTTTAGATTTTTATTAGATGTATTTCTATCTTCACACATTTATTACAACTATACCCACAAGCAACCCGTCCACACACATACGCATACAGAGAGAGAGAGAGAGAGAGAGAAAGAGAGAGAAAGAGAGAGAGAGAGAAAGAGAGAGAGAGGAGACCCGGTGGAGTAATGGATAGCGGCTCTATTTGAGGAATGGGAGAGGCAAAATTCGAGTTGCAGTCGAATCCGTCACATTCACTTACGTGCTAATACCCATGCGAAAGGTATGAATCCTCTTCTTCTTCCAGTTATGGGTAAATAGAAAGACAGACTGTTATGCCTGGTTTAGGAGAAGGACAAATCTAAATTCAATACCTGAGGAGGGTCGGTTGGGTGCACTAGATCTCTGTATCCAGCTCTTCAAAAAGTATGGTTGGTTCTGCACAAAGCCTTCACCACTAAATCAAATCATATATGCTGGTGTCTGGCTAGGAACTGAGTGAGCCACTGAATACGACGGGAGAGTCCATACACACGCACGCGCGCGCGCGCACACACACACACACACGCACTAATATATACATATATATATATATATATATAGTGCAATCCGCGCATTTATAGACGGACATATAACACATAAGCAAAATAATATTAACATTAGACAAATTTTAGTCAATAATGCAATCCAAAGAAAGACTCGAGATTCTGCATGCTGTTCTAGTAAAAAACAAGGGACGAACATTAAACTTCCTTTCGCAAGATCGGATCGTATGTTGAAGTGTGTTTAATAAAAATATATGAACATAAAAATTCCAGTTTAACCATTCAACGGTAGAAAGAGAAAGCTAGAAGATGGAGGTCCCATCAGCAAGATGATCAAAGGAGGTCCGGGAGAGGGCACAAACGCCCTACTGATTTTTTTCCCTTTTAATTTAAATTAAATTCAAATTTGAAAAAGGGAATGACTCCCAGCGTATATTTCATTTTCATCAAAGCGGGAAGCACAAAACCCTGCACTGAAAATCTTTCCTATTGGTTTAAATTTAAAAAGGGAATGACTCCTTTCCTAAATATAGAAAGAGAAAACCAGAATATGGAGGTCACATCGGCAAGATCATTGAGTAATATTGAAATGCATCATTTTTTTCACAAATTATAAAAATGATTTAAAATCAATAATTTTCTTACAAAAACATGTGTGACACGCAACAAGTCATGGGTAATTCGGGATATATATATATATATATATATATATATATATATATATATATATATATATATATATATATATATGTGATTGGGTGGATGTGTAGGTGGGTGGATGTGTGGGTGTGATTTTTAAATAAATGTTTTAATCGGACATTATTTATTATTATTATAAAGTTATTTTTATCGAGTAGAGGTGTTTGAATTGCTGTCCATTATGTCTTATATTCATAAACAGTGACATTAACAACCACCGGCCTAGAAATAGAAATTATTTCTGAGGAATAAGTGTTTTAACCTACGGAAGTTTACTGAATAGAATAATCAAACGGAGGTTGGTAATGAACGAAAATATTTACGACAAGAACAACAAACATAAGATTTGCCAGCGGCGTGTAGAAGAGGTAGTCAACTGCTAGAAGTGAGTCAAGTGAATTCCACAATGAATCTTCAACTGTAGGATATCTACCAACCGCCTCACACGGTCAGATGTGACACAAGGTCGAATTTAATGTGGGGTATCCGAGCCAGTATGCTCGGCCAAAATGTCCCCGTAGACCACGTATAAAACGGGGTTGGGTAGCTGTTTCCCGAGATGAGACTCTGCATTCGATATAGCCTCGTCTGTGGATCCTCTCTGCCCACAGGCATAGAGTTTGACGAGCTGGAGACGAATCTTCAACTGCAGACAAACACAGTATTTACTACTGTATTTATGTGAATGGGGACATTATCGGCCGAAGGTATGCTACAATAAAAAGTTTACAAACTGTTCTTGAATTGGTGACATGATAACCTTGTTAGGAAGAAAAATGATTTTAGTACGATAAGGAAGCACTTCAACACTAACACAACTCCAAGGTTCCATAAGAATAATCATCATAAACAACACACTCTAAAAATATTTAATTGGAAAAAAAAATCGTTTAAAGAGAATGAAAAATCTTTCTGAAAAACTCTTAAAGCCAATATTCAATCTTACTTGTTTTGATAAAAGCAGGAACAAGTTTGTGGGGTTCTGACGTTATGACAAAATATAAAATACTCCTATTCCTATACAACAAGGCTTAAAATTACTACCATTTCTATAGAAGACAGCTTAGAATATAAACATAGACAGAGAGACTAAAAACGAACGCATTGAAACGGGTTAGTGAATTGTCCGATAGCGTTTTAGAAAGTAATCAAAATGGAGGACTGTTTGTACACTTTCTTAGCAATCAGGAAAGGAAAATTTTAAGAACACGGGAAAAACTGTCTGTCATATCAAATAAAATATATATTAATGTTAAATTTGATGCATGCATATATATATATATATATATATATATATATGTGTGTGTGTGTGTGTGTGTGTGTGAATGCGAAAAAACAATGCTCGGATTTTATGAAGCTGTCTGACAATTCTCAGGCGGTACAAGTGACGAGATTCTCAGTTTCATATATATATATATATATATATATATACGAGACACCATCAATAATATGTCTAATTTAGGAAAGAACATACTTATTATATTTCATTAAAATTTGAAGACGCAAAGAATAAAACTGACAGAGCCCAAAAAGCTAAAGTCTTTGATAATGGCTGGTGAAAGCCGAAATTAATCAGACATTGGTCAACTTCCGTTTAAATTTGTATTGGAAACCCGGAAAATATCCTTAACATATAACTTTGCTTTGGTTTTAACCAATCTTGAACACACACACACACACACACACACACACACACACACACACATATATATATATATATATATATATATATATATATATATATATATATATATATACACACATGTATAGTATTATTGAAAGGAAGGACGTTGATAGGAAGACCGAGTGAAACTGAATGATTGGTTCATCATCCCTTTCGAAAATGACAATAATTGCTTTCAATCTATCAACTATTCGCCGGAGAATCTAGGCTTGTTTGATTTCTAAATAGAGGTGATTTCCATGCGGAGATTTCAATTTTCCCAGGGTCAGTGAATCCGTCCGTTCGCTGGTTCTTCCGGACTAACCGGAAGCTAGAGTGCTAGGAAGAAATCGCCAATTCTCTGCATTTCCGCAGGCTATGATCGGTTATGTTTCCTGTTGTTTCGATTCCCTGTCGGCAAGGGTTTGCATCGCATCGAAACCCGATTCTATTTCACTCTCGCTTCTTTACTGGCTGCATCACAATTGTCATTTGTATAGAACAGCCGGCCAAAGAGAGGAGGGAATAAATCAGACATTCCTAATTATGCTATTGTTTGAGAAAGTTTCTAAATAGCTTCATAAAACGAAATATGTTACTTTATTGATTTTGTTGATTTACAAAATCTCCCCAAGCTATGGATTAAACATCAAAGTAGATTGGCCTTCTAGACTATGATAGCGGATCGTATGTGAAAATTGCTATTCTGAATACAAAATCCTGGAAAAAAAAGACCGCTTGACTATCTTTCCTAATAAGTTACAGCAATTGACAGATATTTAAGCCAATAGCGTGCAGAATGGTGGCGGGTGGGGAGACGTCGGTCCCGGGCATTCATATAGGGAGGGCACCCAAAGTATGAAATAAAAATATAGTTTTTAAATTTCGAATAGTTAATTTAGATGTACAAGCGCTCTACAGTCCCACAAGTTGGTGTGAATGCGGATCCGTGTTTTGTTAAGCAAGAACCAAGTAGACGTCCAACCCTACTTGAGTTTTAGGAGCATACAAGGATTCACACCGGTTATCAACAAAACTCTGCACGTCACTGATTAAAGCGATGCTCATCGACGTCCATTCATGCCATTTATTTTGTACCTCATGGTGAGATTTCTGTAATTGAATTGTTCCCCGGGGTAGGGTGATAGGCCCCACGCCCAACTACTGTAATATGGACAACGGTCTTCTTTTCTTTAGAAGACAAAGTGTTTCCACACTAAGGAATTCCATTTATTAGAGTTTTGACATTCAGAATTTTCCTCCTTTTAGACTGTTTGAATACAGTCGGGTTTACTACTTAACCCATTGCTGGGGGGGGAGGAAGAGATAGGTTCATACTTTTCAGATGAATGTAACAAACTCGATTAAAATTCGAATCCGGCTAGCCGATTTCGAGTTCGAAGCTGTTACTAAGAGAAGAAGAAAAAAAATGAATGAATGAATGAATGAAAGAAATAGTCGATATCCGATGGAGGAAAGAGTCATACATTGAACAAATAAACACGAGGTGGGAGAAACTTCGACTTTGATATGTGTCTTTATTGACCGTTTGGAACTATGCCAACGACTCCAGCTTAACTTTTCTCCTCTTCCATCTTTTTTCATTTCGAGGCACACAGGTGCTTTTATAGTCGAAAACGAAGAAACTCGAAAGGTTGTCGCCATACATTTGTGTAACTCTTGGCATATGTATGGATGAAATTCATTTTAAGACATACATGAGGAGTTTTCGTATTCTTTTTGGACGTGGGTGATCATGGCTCTCCACTGCTTCCTTTACTTTATATATATATATATATATATATATATATATATATATATTAATTTAGATCTTGAAAATATATTTCCATTGAGCACTGTTGAGTGATAAGCTAATTCTATAAAGAACAGCCACCTGCGTTAATGCAAAGCTCTTCAGTAAAATGAATGGAGCACTTTGGCTGATTAAAATTTGTATACATTCGTAAAAACAATAGGCTAGATTCAGAAAGAGATAGTTGAAAGTTTTAGGATATGTAATAATGGATTAGGGTTCGGAGAATTTGACACGCACAGGATAGATTAAAGGCAATGGGGACAGAGTGGCAATAGCGATTAATGAGTTTGCGTGAATGGGTATCAGAACAAGGAGTGCAAATAGTTAGAAGCAAAGTTTTCAGTTACAAAAGAAAAGGAAGTTGTGTAGAATCTTGTTTGCCCATGTCATCAATGGACACTGGACATAAAAAAAAAGATATGAACGACATTCTCATCAATATCATTCTCGATCGATTCTTAAGGTTGGTCAACTCGTGCAGTGTTGCGCCCCCCCCCAAAAAAAGTTCATCATAAATAACGAAGGAAATGGCCCATTGGTTGGTAACCTTGTCTCACAGGAAGATTTTTCTGTGTAGTAAGTTGAATTCTCACAGGGTGACCTATATTCATGACCAAGGTTGGATAAACGAAGCGAAATAAATATCTATAGACGAGTGTATTATATATCTTGAGGCATATCTTCATATCACACCGTTCAATTTGTGTATATCATAATGTGTATATTTGCTTTAATGTGTTTTGCTTCGAGAGTAAAGTTTTCATTTGTATATAAGTAATTTCCTGTGCACGCGACGTTTGTGTTTATTAGAGAGAATACGTGTGTTTAAATGTCGTCGTATCGATTTCAAATGTCTTCCACGGAGTGAATAAGTGACCTAAGTGACGACAGGGAAGGTTTTCGGCGTGTTTATCTCTCTGAAAAATTTCAGTATTTCTTGGCGCGTATGGCGCAAGGCTAAGATATTGAGGCATTCTTCATATCCTACACGTATTGAAAGCTAGGTTTCTTAAAACTGCTCTGCAACGGGTGCTTTAAAATATTAATCAGAATTGGTTAAGTCTCGCCAAATGTTTCAAAATTAAGATAACCAGGATGGGTAGAACGTTTTCATTGTTTTAATAAAGCAATAAGAAAACTTCTGTCCCCAATACGTTTATATATCTATATGCGTGCGTGCGAAGGTACCTATATGGATGGGTGCAGTTTACGACTACTGCTGTGTGATGCTTAGCGAGCACATGTGGTTAACCAATTTGTTAGTGTATCTAATAAGTTCAATACTTGTTGGTTACTGAGGTAGGAGATTAGGATATATATATATATTCACCCCAAGCAAGACGATAATGTCATCAATGAGAGAAAAGAGAATTTAGAATTTTACCCATACATATATCATACCTTTGCTTTTTAAAAGCAGAATATTTCCTCTTTTTGCGAGAAAAAAGAAGCCCAGAATAAAAATAGGCCTGTGGTCTTTGCCGTAATTAACCAATCAAGTCACGGCAAAATTCAAACTCACCTAAAAAAATAAAAATAAATAAATATTATAGGTCATGACACGAAGTTGTCTGCATACAAATCCTAGACAATTTCCTTATGGGTAGATGCAATTTGTTACATTATTACGTAACATGTATATAAGTCTGGCGTTCAATTTCTCTAATAAGTAAAAGCAAAGAGATAGGGAGGTAATTTAACTCAATGCTAACCAGTCATGTACTCTTCCAGCTTATTACATTTTTTATAGTTGATAAATAAAAGGTCCCTTTAAGAAACAGGTAAATAACGGTTTGAAAAAAAAGAAGCCAGATCAAAAATACAGAACTACTTTGGCATATTAATACGCAAGCGTTTAATTAAAGTGCATCCATATACGATGTTAATAATACCAACCAATCAATGTAAGATATTAATAATACTAACACCTGTACATCTATATAAGATGCTAGTCATTTAAACTAAACATCAATACAGAACTATATGAAATCAAAGTGAATCGTACAAATTGAATAGTAAATCATATAAACTGCACCGCAGTTCATCTACTGATTCTTACTATAGGAAAAAGTATTGTCAAATTCAAAGTTTAAACATATTGGAAGTTAAAAGGTAGACTATGCCTACAATTTACAGTCTTAATACCAACTAGTATTAAAAGCATTCTTAGTACTACCAATGTAAAATTTATCAAGAGTAGGATTCTCCGTTGTAGAAATAGTACTTAGATAAACAAGAGAGGTTGTTAAACATTGGTTACGTAATGAACATCCGTTGGAATTCTTATAATTACACTGGTTAATATTATCAACAGTATTTTTATCTTGAAATGTGCATTATTATCCAATATCTTATATGACTTACTATTCTAATTGTAAGATTTATTTTGATTTAATATAGCTCTCTATTGATGTTTAGTTAGTATTATTAAAGTCTTAAATTGATTATTTGGTATTATTAATATCTTATATGAATGCTCTTTATTTAAAGATTGCATATTTTCTGTTATTCATTAATTGCTTTAAAATGTATCTTTTTTAGATTTCGGTTACAAAATTAAAGTTATCTGATATAGATTTCGAAAGGAACCATGGAAGATGCGCATTTTTAAATAGCATAACGCATCTTTATTATGATGGCTTCTCGTGGCTTAATCGTTAAGCACGCTTAACGTAGAAAAATACAGGCTGGGTTGCTGTCGACAAAGAAAAGAAAAATAAGCAATTAAAATGAAAGAAAATTAGGAATAAAAACTGCGAATGTAAAAGAAAGAAGAATTTGGAAATGAAATGAGAAAAAAGGAAGAAAAGACAAAACTGAAGAAATGAAAATGAAAGAAAGTATGAAATTTAAAGAGTAATGAATTATTTGAAAATGACCGAAAGAAGAAGAAGAAGAAGGAGATTGAAGAGGATATGAAAAAAAGGAAAAAAAATTAAAAAATAATAAATCCCTTGAAAAAAAATGAAGTAAACAAAAATGGTTAGAAAAGCTTCAATAAAATATTGCAAATTAGAAAAATAATTAAAAAAAAATGAAATGAGAAAAAGATATAAAAAGAAACGAAAAAAAAAGACCGAACGTAAAATGACAGAGAAAAAAAAGAGAGAGAGAGAGATAGAGAGAAAGAGAGAGATAGAGAGAAAGAGAGAGAGAGAGTGTGTGTGTGTGTGAGAGAGAGAGAATAGAAATATAAAAAGACAGGAAGAAGTCCATTTGTTTAAAAAAACAATGCTCGATAAAAATCAATGGAAACAAAACATTTTCGGCTTAATGCATAATTTAGACAAGTTGCGGATTTTCCTGCCACGACGATTCAATATTCATGACATGAAATCTGAAAAAGATTTCCTCTCCCCTTTATTCTTATGATGTCCATCTTGTCCTCTCATCGGCCTCAGCACAGGATGAAACTTTGTTATTATTTAGATAATTCCCAAATACAAAATTCAACATCTTTGGAACATACACAAGGGACAGCCGGTGTCGTAGTCATCCAGTCTGCATAGACCTTTTTAGAAGATATTAAATTAGCTAAGGTTAGTTTGGTATAAAATCATTGATGTGGGGGCAGCTTCCGAGGGATGTATTCTTTGCAGTCACAATGAGATCTGCAAGATATTGAAGGTAATCATCCCCGACCAGTGTAGGTGCCCAACAGCCCAACATTGTAATTGAGTAGCCATCGCCTCTTGAAATACAAAGCCAAATAGAAGTGAGAGAAATCAGCTTTGTATGAAAGTATTCATCTATTTTCCAAGTAAAAATGACCTTTTCAAGCATATAAATATAAACCTGGCTTTTATCCGGGATCGAAATTTAAACTTTGGCGCCGTAAGTCAATACGTAAGAATCTAATCCAGAAATGAAGCCAATGGGTGTTTCTTCAGTTGAGCTTAGTGTGGCCCAAGAGCAACCTCAAAAGGAAGTTGGCATAAGATATTGTCTTTGTCATACTGCAGGCTGATGAATTATCCGAAAGCATTTTATATAGCGTCAAACAACAACAACTAGTTGAGGAAAACACAACTATTTTAGCAGGGACGACCATACTAGAGACGTATTATGCTTACTTTGGTCTATAAAAGCAATAATTACATAGTAGAACAGCTCAAACTACATTGTATCTTTTAATCAGCAAGATTAAATATGTCGCGTTCCATAGCATTTGACATGCTGGCCTTCCTCAAAAGTTCAAAAGTTACGGAAACTCTGAATATTTATTTTAATTCAATTGTTTCTAACAAATCGTGTAATGCAGGTTCTGTTGAACGGACACGCTTCTAGAAGATTAATAGACCACCAAGGGGTCTACCCTCGGACCTACGTTGATTCACATCTTCATCGACGACCTTACATACAAGAGCTAGAAAGGATGGGAATTTGTGAAGCGATACGGTATATCGAATCGCCAGAAGAGCCAAACAGTTAACGTAGAATCAAACATGCTGTACTTATTAAGGGATAGGAAGTTGTGGAGAGACATAATAACCTACGTTTTCATGGAACAGAAAACACGGAAGATGATTGTTCGGCGAGGTAAATCCTATAAAACTTGATGTACTAATTAAAGGTGTTAACAGAAAAAACGACGAAGGAAGCTGCAAAAAACTCTTTCCTATTTGCAGATCAATGCGTCTGCACACAAGACTAGAAAATGATATATTTGTTGAAGAATTTCTGGTTTGAGTGTATAAATCATCCCCTCTACACGGAAGATCATACTACATCGATTTGCTGTTTTCAAAACTCAAAAGGATTTTGAAAAGGAAAAAATGTTTGAATGAGGTGATAATAACAAGCAGACAAGATTTTTTCAATTTCTAAATAACAATTGTTTAGGAAAGTTGATAAACTAGTTCTCATATTTGTTGTGCTCTGCTTTGAATATATGGAATCGCAGTTGTGTTTCATTCTTTTCTTGGTCAAGTCGAAAATCATTTAAGAATCTCTCGTGGAATTTATCTAGCACTTTAGAATTTGGAACCTTACTGTATTCTACGATTTTAAAAAAAAAAGATCCATATACAAAAGGAAAAGCCTACACAAATGACATAATAAGGAATAATCAATTCCTGCGTCAAACAAAACATTGTGTGATCTCAAATTATGTTTCAATATTATTGGAAAATATTCTCTATAACTTACAATCATTAATCTATTTTCTAAAATATCTTGAAGATTTTTCTTTCAAGTTCTGAACCTCAAATTATCGCCCATTTAGTCATGTATCTATTTTGGCAATGTCTTAGATGCTCTAATCACCTAAGAATTAATTCGCATCACAATTCACGTAGTCTTCTTTCACACAATCAATATGGCTTTCACTTTCGAGTTCTCTGGTAAGAAAAAGTCACACTTTTCCTCCTTAACTTTAAATCCGTATTCTTGTAACTTTCCGAATACGTTTATTATATGGTTCCGGTGCTCTGCCGTAGTTTTACTAGTAACCTGTATATCATCCAAATAGGCTGTTGCGTAGTCAAGGTCGCCCAGCATGGCGTCCATGACCTGCTGGAAAATTGCAGGCGCAACCTTTACTCCAAAAGCCAGCCTGTTGTATTTGTACAACTCTCTATGGGTGTTTATGCAGAGCAATTTGGAACTTTCTTCTTCCACCTCTATCTGAAGGTATGCGTCCGAGAGGTCGATTTTAGAAAAAAATTTTTCCACCATTGAGTTTATTGAAAATTTCTTCATGGCTTGGGAGAGGATAGTGGTGATCTTGCAAGGCATCGTTTAACCCTGTGGAAAAATCTGCGCATACTCGTATTTGAGTGGACTTCTTTTTTACGTAGACCGTAGGTGCTGCCCACTCGCTGAAATCTGTTTTTGACAGAATACCTGCTTGTTCGAGTCTATCTAACTCTTTGTTGATTTGATCTAGAGCAGCGAAAGGGATATTTCGTTTCTTTTTGAATACCGGTAGTGCACCGTCATTCACCTTGAACTTAGCTTTCATTTTAGTACATTTCCCAAGGCCGCCAGAAAAAACCTGGGGAAATTGCTGTTTGAGTTCTTTTTTTAGATTTACCAAATTGGACGTTGTATTTTGTATCTTGCGACAAAATGTACTCATTGGGCAATCCCAAAGATTGAATTTTTCTATCCAATCTGTTCCAAATAAGTTAACTGAAGTTTTTAATACGTAGGCTTTGAGCTTTTTGGTAACTCCATTTCGTGTTACTGTAAGTATTATGTGGCACCATGCATCCAAGCAGAGAAAGTAAGGCAAAAAATGAAAGGAAAGAAAAGAAGAAAGTTAGGAACAAGTAATGCGAGACGGATCATAGGCACACGGCTTAAGAGGCAATAAAAAAAAGGGGGTTATTTTGGATAAGTGGCAAATGCCGAAAGGAGTGTCATTACCATGCCAATGAGATTGAGTGGGTAGGGAAGTGTTATCTAAACTATTGGTACGAGAAGGCATCTTACTATCAAAATTAAAGGCCACCTGCGAGCAAGCATTGACCGATTTCCCACTTGTCCTGTGCGAATGGAATTGTGTTATCAAGAAATGTTCACCAAAGAAAGTCCACTTGAAAACGTTAGATTTTGATAATTGACAAAACACAGGTGTAGCTTGGAGCCTTAGCTGGGTATGGAAAATTAAAATCCTACACAAGTAGTCTCACTAGTTAAGCTCTTTTCGACAAAACAGACTTTTGCCCTGCGATAATAAAATTTTGTTATCAGACACATGAACCGAAGGAAAATGAATGGAATAAGAAATGTTTTTATTGTTGCCTCGGAGACGTCAGACTGGCTGAAAACTTGGAGAAAATTCCTTTCTGAGACCATGTCGGAAAAACCCAGCCGTCTGATGCATTAGCGATAAACTGCTTGACAAACGCCACGTGTTGAACAAAGAGTTGTCACATTATCCGTTCATGATAACGGCGATTTGAAAGAAAGAAAAAGAAAGAGGAGAGATCATTAATTTTTTAGTTAAACAAGGTATTTCTTTTTCCAAAACAAAGCCGCGGGTTGTTCACGCCCGACTAAGACGTCATTGGCCAAGTGGTGATCACATGACGCACGAAGGAGGAGGAAAGATACCTGACCAAGACATCATTGGCCGAGAGTGGTCACGTGACGCACGAAGAAGACTGTCGACGCCCCCATCCTGAGTATAAGTATGAGAAGCCACTACGAAGAAGTGGGGAGGGCAGTTCACGCCCTTCAGAAGCATGGTGAGAAAGTGGGAGTGAGAAAAAAGTTACCAAAAATGGAAAAGAGTGGAAAATCCCTAACCAGAAATAAAAGAGGTGGATATGTATTTAGAATTATCGAGGAACTCCCCGACGCCAACAGACCCAACCCGGTTTTTGACGGCGTCAATAAAAACGAGGCCCCAAGAGGCAGAAATCAGTTCAGCCTCGGACGGCAGAGATGAGTGCCCAGTAGTTCAGACCCTGGCGGGCAGAAGAGAGTTCGTTCGGACCCTGACGGGCAGAAGACAGTTCGTTCGGCCCTACCGAGAAATTTTGTTTACATTTGATACGCCAGAGCAGTCATGAATGTACGAGATTCATGGAAGATTGAAGTTTATAAGCAGTAAATTCGACCTTGCCTACCGAACGCTCCTTTGAGGTCGATTGGTAAGGCACGTCAGCGTAAATGACGGTTCCGTATAGGATGCAGGTTCGAATATTTTCTATGAAAATTTCTCGGACATTCAGGCCGGTAAATGTAAATGTTATTTAATACTGTTTATTATAAACAGAGCATTTACTTAAATACTTGTATCTATAAAAAAGAACGTTAAACATAAAAATGTCTTTGATAAAATAAATTGTCGGACTCTGTCCATTTCTTTTTATATATATATATATATATATATATATACACGTTTCATTAAATAATATAGACAAGTTTATTTTATGTAAAATGTTTTTTCGTAACGTCTGATAAGTTTTATAACATTATCGTTGAACGAATATATATATATATATATATATATATATTTATATATATATATATATATATATATATATATATATATATATATATATATATGCGCGTATGTGCGTCTGTTCGTGTGTGTGTATAATATATATAAGGAAAGAGAGAGAGTGTTTGTACGTGTCTTTCTTTGTGATGTGTGTATATGCCAGTATGCATGTATGTGTGAGGATTTTCTTATCAAATACCTTTTTTGTTTTATTTTTATTCTTCAGCCATGGTGTATTCGTTGCGATTTTAGCCTGGATTCGAACCCCTTCCCACAGCATTCTAGTTACACACATGTTGAGTTAAGGCGTGGGAATACAGTGACGTGTCTGTTGAACGTGTTGAAAGAAGGCCGGTTGACACGTGAAAGGAAAGCTCCATCGAGAAGAAGGGCTCCCGTATTTCTCTTTCTCTCTCCCTTTTTTTTTTAGTGGCACACCAAAACTTTGAAGGGTTTGTATCTCTAGGCGAGCTTTCTACTGACCCACTTCCAATTCTTTCTCTTTTTCTGTCTTCGTTCCTGATTACCCAGTACCCACAGGCTTCATGTATATTTTGAAAAGGGGATTTATTTAGAGCAACACTTGGAAATTGGCCTTCTCGTAATGCCTTGTCTGATTTCTCAAATTTACCTTACCCATTTGGCAAATCCTCTTGCTTAAGTTACTCCATCTTATACCGTCTTACAATCTCTAAAGCATATGTCTGTCCGTTTGCGACTCCGCCCTAACCTAACGCGTACCGAAGTACATACATCCAACTCATTGACTCCCTTTTTATATATATATATATATATATATATATATATATATATTTTCATTAAAGACAACTGACAAGGTGCTGCGATATCCGATCATTTTCGGCTATTCTTTTAGCCACTGTCAAGGGCGATTATTATTTGTTATATTTTCAACTGAATATATGGGTATTTATATATGTGTCTATAATTATAGGAATGTTTTATTTTTCAAACACGGTCAGGACATTGTGACCATGTTCATAGTTGATGTTATTGCGTGATACAACTATGTACACGGTCACATGGGGTTTGTTAAAATATTTATGTTTGATTTAGTTTATTTACTTATTTATTTGTTGGGATCAATTTATTTATTTTTATTCTTGTTTGGAAACAATTTTTTTCTCGTTACTTAAAAATCGAAAACTGAAAACGAACAAGAATAAACGAAAATAAATAAAATAAATAAAAAAAACAAAGAAATTAAATTAATCCAAACAAATAAATAAACTAAGTAATAAATAAACAAGTGAACAAAACAACGGACACACAGACATACACAGGAAAATGTTGAAAATAAGAAAATAATGAATAATAAATAAAAACGTTAACTAACAAAACTATAACTAGACATATAACTGCATTCGGATCCAGAATTATTTCCACTCAATAGCCCCGAGATTAATTGGAAACTAAACCGTTACCCCACACCAAAACAATGGTTAGTATAATACAATAGGTTACTCACAATGCCATACAATATATTACCTACAATGCATCATTGTCCTTTATATATAAATAGTTGAGCAAACACAGTGCATATGACTGTTGACTGTGTGTATTGACTTCAATGTCGACATTTATATTTACATACACTCTAGCTCTGATATTGAGCACTTTAACCCATAAATATAGGAAACCTTAAAACTACATTTTATAATTCATATATATATATATATATATATATATATATATATATAAACATATATATATATATATATAAACAAACAAACAAACAAACAAACAAACAAACAGAGAACAAACACTATCTTGAATCTGAGCGTTGGATGTGGCAAGGTAATTATTTAATTTATTTGGTCCCAACTTGTCCACAAATAAAACAACGCATTTTCCTTAGATACAATGTTGTCTATGTTTGATTTTAACTGAGGAAGCCAGAGGGAACAGATGCGCTTGACAAAACACATGGTTTATGCATTTACAATTTGTCTCATCATCTTCATATATATATATATATATATATATATATATATATATATATATATATAAAACTATATGAACTTGTGCATATCAAAACAATTTTAGGAAAATCTATGACAAAGTGGAGAATAAGATTTCGTTCTTTAGGTCTTCCTCAGACTAAAGTGATGTTTACGATAATACGATTACACATACACATGAAGGAGAGGGGTCGTTAAAATTTTAATTGAAATAATGCGTTTTGAGTATATATATATTAGTCGATTTCATTTATTTTCTTTTTTCCTTCCTGTTATAATTTTATCAATTTTATTATTAAATATTCCATATTGTACTAATAGAAGATTTGCTAAGAAATAGTGAAAGTTGTAAGAACCTGAACTTTTAAAAGTCATTAATAAACGATTCTTTCCAATCTATCTATCTATCTATCTATCTATCTATCTATCTAAGTGTTACTATTTTATTTTGCATCTTTTCTTTCGTTTTCTTTCTTTTTACCATTGTCGTTCTTTACGAGAGCCTTTTCTTCTCATTCGATCTTAAAACTATTATTATAGTCTGCTTTTTAAGAATTTCACTTAGTTTTTAAATACTTGACATATTTTCATAAGATTCCACATCTTTCACGTATTTTTTATTTTCCTTATTTATTCTTGTTTACTTCCGTTTACATTCTGTTCCTTTTCTCAAACTGTTCGCCATTCCTTTCTTACTGCCTACTTTTTAAAAGTAAATAAAATAAAATGTTTAATCGTATCTCGTTCCCTTTTGAAAAAAATAGACAAAAGCATTCCTTTCTTCATTTACACCGAGTTAACTCCTCTTTATCATCTATGCTTTTATCACAATGTGGAACTCGAAACCCTATCTTATCATCCCCAGGTGTTTGTCAACATATATATATATATACATATATATATATATATATATTGATATATATATACATGCATGTGTGTGTGTGATTATGCATTTGGGTAAAATCCCTATTTTAGACAAGTTTCATTAAAGGTGACTGACAAAATGCTGCGATTAAAATTTTTATTCAATTTTTCTTGTGTTTGCATATGTTTTCTTTTGTCGACATATAGTGTGCAAAAATTCTCATATTGTTCTCTCTCTCACCGAGCTCTTTCGCTTAATCCAGTAGCCATTATTAAAGTTGATTTTTCTTTTAACTGGAAGTGTACATTGTTATTATAACTTTCTAGTGTTGGGAATGTTTTTTCTAAACACGGTCAATATATTGTGGCCGTGTTCATAGTTGATATTATTGAATGTTGGCATTTTCTATTTTATAATTAGTGCTTCCATAAGTGCTTTTAGACTTTTTTAACTTGTGGATGACGCTATTATATTTGTATTTTCTATATGTTGCGGATGGAGCTTGGTAGCTTTCCGTGTGTATTTAAATGAGTCCTAATTGAGCTATGGTCAGCGAGATGTAACGTGAGTCTTCTTGATAGGAATGTAGTGGTATGTCTAATATAAATATTCGTGCTCGGATATATAGAATATTTGGATAATTTTACACAATTTTTATCCGGAAAAGAAAACACCTACACGAACACAAGAAAAAAAATAAAGAAAAGGATTAGTCACAGTAACTTGGAAAATACCAGGTGCCGTAAGCTTGGATGTGTGGCTGGTGTAAATGATAATGGCTCGGGATTGATAATAGGAGAGCTGAGATCCAATTCTAGTTGTATTCATTATATTCACTTACGCGCAAATGCTCTTGGGAAAGGTATGAATCCGCTTCTTCTCCCCCAGCTATGGGTCAATTAGTAAGAATTGTATCATTTAATTATCATTATCTCCTAAAAAAATTTTCTCACGTTAAATAACCGGGAAAGGATTGATAAGCTGTGGAAACCCCACACTTTATATCCACATTATAATTGTTTGTTGATAAGCCGTAGAAAAGGAATCAATCAATCAATGAAATACTGATTAGCTACACAGGCATGACTTTTAGATTTATTTACATTCCCTGGAATATAGATGTATAGAAACTACCGTGACCACAAAGTGAGGGATTAATTTATATATTGATTGTAATGTAGAATTGATCCCCCACTTTACATCCACTTATAATTTCTTGGTTGTTGATAAGCCGTAGAAAAGGAATCAATCAATCAATGAAATACTGATTAGCTACACAGGCATGTCTTTTAGATTTATTTGCATTCCCTGGAATAGAGATGCATAGAAACTACCGTGCCCACAAAGTGAGGGATTAATTTATATATTGATTGTAATATAGAATTGATTCCTTTTTTTGTATCCACATTATTATTTGTTTATCAAATTCTGCGGAGGTATGAAGCCGTTTGCATTTATGGGAAATTTAAAGACTTGTATCACTAAATCATTATTGTCTAAAAAAATGATATAAAAATGAAAATATTTTCTGGTTTTAAATAACATACAAAGGGTTGATAAGCCTTAAAATGTGAATGAATTAATCCATGAGATATTGATGATAAACTAAGATTGAAATAAAATGCAGGAAATACTGTTTTAGTATCTCGTTTTATTTACAATCAACGCGTCATGTCACTAGTCATGTAAAACATTTGGATTATAAGGTCATTTGGATCATAGGATCACTTGCATTATAAGGTCATTTGGATCATAGAGTTACTCGGATCATAGGATCATTTTGATCATAAGGTCACTTCGATCCTATATTTCAGCCATAGAAGTAGTGCTGTGTTTTGGCCATGTTTGCCTAGAGGAGCCCATTGCTTTGCAGGATGGTTTTGAATTCGGAGTTGTCATCCTTCTAGACTAATTGCCACCTCAAAACAAGAGTATCGGCTCTCTGCTGCTATTTAAACCATGGTTGAAGAACTGAATTCCTGACTTTTCTAAAGGTATTAACGAGAAAGAAAGGAGACAAAATCGAGAGGGTATTGATTCTGGCTCACCGAATAAACTTTCAGCGCCAATAGCCGTTATGTTAAACACACATACTTTAGTAAGAAAAATAATATAAAAATAAGAATATTTCGTTTGAGAACATTTCCTCAAAGAAATTTCCATCTTACATTTTTCATTTAAAATAAAAATACTCCAAGCAAGGCGCTACCTAGTTGGGAACTAATGACATCTGGAGGGTCGTTGATGATGAAGATAAGAAACAATGGAGTTCTAAGGACGGTACACTTGAAAAAACAGCTGCATTAATGTGAAATGATCTAGAAGCATGGCCGTTCATTACGATCTTCATTACACAATTTATTAAAAACGGTTTGTTTAAGTAAAATATTCGACCAGAGACACCATTAGCTTTGAACTTGTTAAGAACGCTAGCACACCAAACCTCGACAAATGCTTTCGAGATATGGAAAGCCAAAGCTGGAGCTTCACCATTCTTATATAAAGCCTCAAAGCCAAATTCAGTAATAATCATTAA